TCGAGAATCGAGAAAACTAGCAAAGTATCAGGAGAACATGATCAGCAAAGAGGTGGCACTATCTAAAATTCCAAGAATTGGATTTCCGAGAATTTCATTCTTCAAAACGCCAAAATCGAAAATCGCAAAACTGGAAAAGTATCAGGAGAACATCGGCCAAGAGGTGGCACTATATACAGGGTGTCTCATTTTTAAAAGTTCGCGCAAATATCTCAGAAAATATGAAAGATACAGAAAAACGTTTCAAACAAAAGTTGTTTGGTTCGAAGGTGACCTTCACGTGACTTTCAAATGACTATCCAAGGTCAAGTCAATGGTACCACCTTAAATATCCCTTCGATCCAAATAACTTTTGTCTGAAACATTTTCTGATTTGGCTAATACTTTTCGAGATATTATGAGCTAAACATTGAAAAAGTTATAAATTTTGCTTTTTAATATCCTCAAGTCTAAAAAATCCGGCCAGAAGTGTAAATAATTCCGAGCACTGTATTAGAGGATAACGCAGAGGTTTAATTACACTAAACAGAGCACAAACATTACTGTAATTTTCCTTAGGTGAAGCTTTATATTGGCTTCATTTGCGTTTCAAATTGATAAATTGATAAAAATTTGTTTAAACAGTATTTTCAGTGACATTACAAAATATTACATTTATTTTTTCACACACGACTGCATACTCACCATTCGCCGCGCTGAAAGCAGACACTTGTTCCCTGACGTTCACGCCATTCAAGGGTGGTTCCGGAGGCGGTAAGGCAGGTGGTGGTGGAATATGCCCTCTGGGACCGCGGGGCGAGCCACCCGTGACCAGTTTCCCCATTTGCAGCATCTTTAGGTCCTCGACGAGGTCCTCCGCTGATACACTCTGACATTGGAATATGTGCATCTCCGCTCGCTGGCCTGAGCCACTATCGTCAGCTACCGTGAACACCAAAATGTTGTTGTACATCTCCATAGGATCTCTCGACGTAAATGCCGTCGGCTCCTGTATCAAGGCAGCTGGGAACCGTTCCATGATGGCCTAGAATTATTAATGCACGTATATTATATTGTGCGGCAGAATTGTACGCGCGATAATTTTGCGAACAATCGACTTTCTCACGTGACATGGCAAATCGGTACGTTCATATAAATTGCATCGATAATTCGCAATCAATTAATTCGTTTACAATATCGCTTTATTCTGGCCTCGGGGATGGTAGCGATTCTTTATACCGAGGGTCACAGACGCGACAAAATTTATGGATCTAATTAAAAGCATCGTTAAGTTCCGTAAACATGTTCTCCGGATGCCCGTGTGCCTACACGTATCGTGCACCTACACGTCGGCGATACGCAGGTCGAATCTGTACGGTGTAAAGGAGAAAAATTACCCCCGTTTCGTTGTCCATGATAAGGACCCAGTTTCGCTCGAGACGAAACTGCATTTTTTGACTCCAAATGCCATTGCTTTTCTCCAGCTGTAGAAGGCGGCGCATACCATCCGCCGGATAAACAATACCGGTTTCCTTCGTGACGGTGAACGTGGCCAAGTGTTCCATCATATACGTCGGCTCCGAGCTGCTGGCGCGACCGCCAGAAGTGCTCGACGGCCCACTGGAGCCGCCATCTGAAAAAAACGTCAGACTCGCCTTTAGTAAGTGACTTGTAAAAAAAAATGTGATAAAATAATAAAATTCTCCTCTCGAGGGACACCTCTCGCTCTTTATTGCCATAAAGCGACGTCATTTCGCAATCTATATTCCTTTGCTCTCGAAATAACGCGCAATAATATTAAAATCCGCTCAATTCGGTGGAGTTTATGTGCAGCACGTGTTTTTTTTTTCGGTCTTCATTCTCTCCGTCGCGAAAGATTCGTGATAATCGGATTTAATTGGCAGACAAACGGTACATTAGCGAATGAGAATTTATTTCAAAGTGTAATTAACTCGTTAATTCCACGTTATAATCTAAATGAGCGGATTGCTCACCTTTGTTGTAAGCGGGACTGTGGCCACTGTTGTAGTACGGCATGGTAACCAGGATGTACCGCGCTGATTATAACTGAAACAGAGGAGCCAATGTTCCCATTACGAGACGTATCGCTGAAGAGAGGCTCTGAATTGCTGTGCCACAATTCAGGGTAATAATTCGTCACGGGCGAGCAAGGGGGTAAGGTAACGAAAATCTTAATTGGCCTTCGGAGCTGGCATCTCTTTATTATCCGCGTTCGCAAGGCTCCGTTTTAATTTATGCGCGCCGCGGTCTCGCCTTTTCATTTCGGATCGCGCGGCTGGTCCTAATGTCGCCGTGTGTTGCCAAGCGCAGAACAGCCGGGTTCAATAACTTGATTTTAACGACAGCAACGACAGCAACGTCGATACTTGCGCGTCGCACGTAGCCGTATATCCGGCTATCGGGTCAGCAGTGCCATACTTGGCGCTCAAGAAAGTCAGCAGAAAGCAGCAGCCCCTTTGCCCCTCGTCACGGTGAAATTCCAATGAGTTTAATTCGTTTGCCAGACATGTCTGGAATTCCTCCTCTTCCTCCTTCTCCTCCTCACGGTTTACTAAACTTCATTTTCGAAGGTGAAACCTTACGCTCATGGAGCTAATAGTTCGCCACTCGTTCGGACACTCCGCTGGCTCGCGCGCGAGAGCAGCCTCGTCCACTTTTCACTTCCTTCTATACCTGTTTCATAGTTGCATTTAAACGCGATCCTTATGCATGATTGACGTGCCTTAAGATTTCCTAAATATCACATTCTTTAGCGTAACATTTTACGTAATGTGTTATATCTCTGTTTATTGGAAATAATCTACACGATTGATTTAATTATCAGTTAAAGGATAATTTCGAGATAGCTCACTCAGGCTTTCAAATACTTTGTATTAAGTATTATGTATATTGTCTCCGTACGAATATTGAAATATTGAAAGTATTAAAACAAAGATGGCTCACGCGCGCGCGCGCGTAATTTGATTGTGCGAAAGGCTTATATCTCGTTGAAATTTTGCGGATGGCAATTTTAAAACTGTGACATGACTGTCGTAGCGATACTTTTCTTCGTCATTTTCTAGCGGACAGATTTATCTGTGATATTTATCGTCGCATGTAAATTGATGCGTCACAGAATCTACACGCTCGTCGATGGATCGTTCCCGGCAGAAGAGAAACTGAGACGACAAGTCGTTTTTGCATAGCTTATATGTGCGAGGAATGTGAAATTCTGAATTCGTTCCAAGAGGAATTCCTCCATAATCGTCCCTTTAGTGTTAACTGCATATGCAAAGGCTATACTTGAAAGATATTCAACGAATTAAAAAAAGAGGCTGCCGGTATGTATACACCCGAATTTTCTTTTGGTGAAGATTTCTCTGCGTGTATATAATATTACAGGAAACACATAATTTTTTTCCCGAACGAGGGAAATTTGATTTTTTTCGACGTGATGTATGTAATAAAAATTCACGCCAAGTAAATATATGTACTTTATCGTCGCGCTGGTGTCATTATAAAAACATTTTTTAAAAAAGGTAAAAAAGAGCCAAGTATAAGCGCCATGCAATCAAGAAGTATATAATTTAATAGAATTAAAGGTTCAACGTAGGACGAAAATTTCGACTCGGGTACATTTTAATTCTATTTAACACTAGAGCCTCGTGACATTACGTAGAACGTAGATGCTTGTTGAATGAGTCCCGTAAATACGTACAGCAACTGCGAGTTGTCAATCGCATTTGCGTAACTGCGTGACGATTGATCGCTCTTTCATAACGCTAATAAGTCATATTAACGAGTTTATGTGAATGTAAACTCGTTCGGGAAAAAAATTATGTGTTTCCTGTAATATTATATACACGCAGAGAAATCTTCACCAAAAGAAAATTTACGACACCGTTGTAAAACTCTTCAAGTTTGCCGAAAAATAATTCGCAACGACATTGTATATCTGCGAATATTAAATTAAATTGAAAATACGAATACATAAATCACAATTGAAATAAAATTAAGTAGTTGTGACTTGTGTACAAAATTATGACACAACAGCGTTTCGCGCGAATGGTAATATTTTAAGAAGAGCGGGAAATGTACACAAATGTTTCTTCAAGTTTCTCCTCTTCTACTTGTATGGATCTTCGTCTCTATTGGGACAAGCATTCCTCGAGTCATTAAATTGTGGTTTAATTGTTTGTTGGCTGCGCCCGTTTATAGTTTCGAAAGTGCAAACAAGCGCTTCTAATCGCGCGAGCGGTCAGGCGTTTCGCTTCGAAATTCTCGCTCGGGATTCTTTAATGATACGACAGCTAAATCAGTCGCTAAACGTAAATCGTCTATCCGGCACGTATGAATTAGTAATAAGGGGATTCTTGTTAAACGATAAGTAATTTCGATTCGCTTTCACCGACGTCGACAGGTTGTTCGGAAGCAATTTTGCAATTTACGATGGGATTAGACACCGTGAGAACGCAAAGAAAGCATCATTATGTGACAGGCACACAACAATGATCGGTTGTCATTTCACACGGTGACAAGTAAGTATGCACTGTTAATATGATCGAATATTTCGTACGTAAATAATATGCCGTTGTATAAATTAACAAACGATCACAGGATAAAAGATATAAATTAATTATCAGATCGTTTCGATTATTTCGAGTATTTTGAATTTCAAAATGACTCATGATTATTTTATATATCATTCGATTCAGTCGGTTCCGGCGAGATAAATTATCAGGATGACAATCTATAGACCACTACATATGTTCCAATGAGGTGAGAGTGAGAGAAAGAGAGACAGAGCGAGAGAGAGGGGAGAGGAAGAGAGAGAGAGAGAGAGAGAGGATTAACATTTATAGTAACATTCTATGCTGTCATTTCATTAAAAAATAAAAATACGTACAATTTCCTGAGTCAAAATTTTGGTACTATTTTGACACTTTTAAGAATAATTTACACCTACTTAGCTGATCCATATAGCTACATGGACCAGCGACAACCTTCTTTGATGACATTATATTTTTTTACTGCTCCCTTGAATCTGTAATTCTAAAAATTTACTTTAACTCCTACTTAAAAGGACCTACTTTAACGCTGAATTGGCAAAAGTAGAAATTTCCGACACTATCAGTTTTAAAGTAGGGGTAAATTTTGTACTTGCAGTTCGACCTCTTTTACTGTCTTAGGTCCTGCTATATAATAGAATTAAAGGTTCAACATAGGGCGAAAACTTCGACTCTGATTTGTCAGAGAATTTGGATCGTCGAATTATATCACGCGTCACATTGATAGCAGCGTGCAACTAACGTAACCGAGAAAAGCGTTTGGAATCGTCATCGGTGGGAAAGCAATTTGTGTTTCCATCCAACAGAAAGGATCCCTGTAGTTTTCTTAAATTATACTACTATTCTGACCGCGGTTATCACTAATGGGGAAAAAGAATAGGCGAATTCACTCGGCGGATGGAGCTATAACAATTGCGTCTAGAGGTATACGCAAATGAAGTATACCTCTATACGCAATTGTTATAGCTCCATCCGCCGAGTGATTCTCATCTCGAATTTTGCACATTATACTACGCTGTTACACTTCATTTCTACGGACTCTTCGGTCAATTTGGTGCCAACTTATCCTTGGCGATAAAGTTTAACAAAATATCGTCTACTTCAACTTTCTTCATTTTCAGCCAAGATTGTTCAGTTTTTCCTCAAGATGCTAAAACTCCATGCTGTACTCAAGCCCTACCCGACTTATCTTAAAATCACCGTGGCCTTGTCGATTCTATCGCGTCCATATATTACATACGTGCTATATATTTTATTCTTTAGTCATATACAATATTTTAAATTTATTTTCTCGTTTCTAGTTCAAGTTTAAATTCGGCGAAGGATTGACATTAACGTAACGGGACGCGAATTGTAAAAGTGAGGAAACGCACAATAAAATTACGGATCGTACGAGATATTAAATATAAGTATTTCGCCGGCGAGTTCTCACGCACTCTGTAGGTAGCCACGACTCAACGTGAAAGAATTCCTGTTCACAACGCGGTTCTAATGCTGGCCTAAGGATCTCGACGGAGGCCTAACACACAGCAGTCACGGCAAAAAGGGAAGGGAAAAGGAAAGAAGGTGAGTGGGCTTCGGTGTGTGTGCCTCACCACGAGACCGAAGTTACCAATGCGTTTCGATCCTGCATACCAGAAATTCCTCATCAACGCTGAATCTAGATTTTAACATGTAACCGAGAATCCCCATTCAGTAAGCAATTACTCCCTAAGGACGTCAGACGCGCAGAATGGTATCAACAACAATTAACAAGTTATTAGGATCTTACAATAATTGCATATACATTGCAGATATTTTTCTCAACTTTGCGTATAAAAGACGAACAGTTTTTCTATGTCGTACATATTCTTGGCTAATGTGGCTAGTTACAAAATATCTTTTATATCGTGTCCTCAGGCAGGAACGTGTTCATAACGAGATTTCGATTTAGCGATTCTTCTTAGAATTTCAAGGAAGGAACGCGAATCGGTGTATGCAAATGAAATGTATACAAGTTCCAAGTACTTGAGATATCACTTTGTATCGGCACGGAAAGATGAAAGGATATGATACCCATGTCACTTTTTTAAGTCGCCGAAGAGATGCACCTGACGTCTAAGCGTGGAAAAAGAATAAAGAGTGTATATATATGAATATGTACGTACGCGCGAACGCACCTCGCGACAAGTCTCAAACATAATTATTTATGGATACGGACACACCCCACGTGCAGAAAAATTCAATTCACGCATTCTTGGAATGCATCGCATCGTGTATTCACCGCCTTGAATGTACTTGACACCTACAAACGGTTTAACCTTGGGACCACTAAATTTTTTTTGCATAATCGCATCGTAAGAACAGATAAATATACAAATTGATTTATGCAAATCAAGACTTTGCCGTCTCTCTCTCTCTCTCCCTCCCTCTCTCTTCCTTTCGCTTTTTTACGACAGTCTTTTTGCAAATTTTTACGTGGCAGTTTTCTCGACTTAAATTACAAGTCACAAAAAATAA